CTTGTTGTTGTTGTTGTTGTTGCTTGTTATTGTTGCTTCTTTTTTATGCCCACGACCAAGAGCACACAATTTGGCTTTAGCCGCATACAGAAGGGCTCGAGCACGGCGCCCGAACAGGGACCCGAGCAGGGGCCGGGCTGGGCACGCCGGTAACTCCCACAGGAATTCCCAGGCAATATAACTGAAAGCAGAAATGAAGATAACAGTCAGCGCGGCAAGTGCAAATCCACCCGTCCATTTAACAAGTTGTGCACAACCCCGCCTTACGCCTTCAGGCCACCTGACGAGCCCATCCACATCCGTATTCGCATCCGTATTCGCATCCTCAAGCGCAACGCATACCTTTTGCTAACCAACTAACTGCCTTTTTGCTGGGCGCTCGAATGGGTGGTTCGGTGGTTCGATGGTGCGGTGGTGCGGTGGTTGCCCTGCTCTGCTCTCGGCTGTGGGCTATGAGCCGCCTGTTACGCCTCTGTTTGATGCTTGTAAAGACCACTTTACCCGCTATAATAAAAATAAATCATAATATTTTGCACCCCTCGTCGCGTGCGGCACAACTTGTGCAAACCCTCGCACACTGGGACCAAGCCCGATTTCAAATGCTTAACACAAATAAAACGAACATTGGCATAAATGGCTTTAAGTGCCCTGCAGTATGAGTTCTATTTGGAGTCCTATAAATACATTCGTTTATTGGCGCACACTCGCTCGCATTCAATAACTAACGAGTACACTCCAAACGGACGTGTCGAAAAGATGGACATTAAAATAAACGAGTAAAAAAAAAGGCAAATAAATAAAAAGCTGCTCTTTACAACTCTTTCAATCATTTTTACAGTACGTAGTTGTATTTAGAGTCTTGCGAATACATTTGTTTATTGCCAAAGAAAGTAACGACTACATTCCAAACGAACGAGTCTAGCAAATGAACGAGTGAAATTTACGATTAAAGCTCGGCAAAGTGTGGCAAGCTTATTTTGTAAGCTTTCAATTCTTGTAAGCTTTGCAAGTGCCAAAAATATAAATTGAAGCAAGTGAAGCAACTCTTTCAACTTGAATTTTACTCGTTAGTTTCAATTATTTATGAATAACTTAAGTTGTATTTAGAGCCTTGCGAATACATTTCGTTTGCATTCATGAAGTAACGAGTGCGTTCCATAAAGAAAAGTTGATTTTCAACTTTGATTTTATCCGACATTTTATCATCAAGCTATTGAAGCAGTGTGAGCTTTGACAGAGATTTATCGATAAGAAATTTATCGATAAGTTCGATAAATCGTTTATTTAGACGCTTTGATTATCATACTTAACACATATGAAATCAAATTGCCAGAAATCAAATTTGCATTCAATATGTCAACTCTTGCACCACGGTAAAGGTACACACACTCCGGCGTTTACCTTGTGTTTGCCGGTACTCAGCGCTCAGTACACGTCGGCACACGAACCCATCGTCGACGTCGTCGTCGTCGTCGCTGTCGCTGTCGTCATCCATGTTGCGAGGTTGTAACCCCGGATAATGTACTTAATGCATCTACATATTAATGTCGCCGGAAAACCTGTGCAAGCGAACCCCATTCCCAGTCCCAATCCCATTCCCATTCCCGGGCCAACATCGACTCGTCGAAAATCCTTACCGGCTAGCAGCATTAATAGTATTTTCTATTACTGGGCCGTACTCTGGTCCCCCGTGTACGGATCGTCCTTGCCGGCTCGTTGTGCCTTTTGCTTTTTTTCTTTTTTTTTTTTTGTTTTTATTGCCCCGCGGCACCCGCCCGGTACGGCTCGCCGTGTACTACGATTACACTTGTTCCTTCAGCTAAACGAGGGGCTGGGTGTGCGCGTGTGTGCGTGTGTGTTGGGCCCGGTTATATTGATATGTCTCCCCGTAGAGCTGGCAAAACAGACGGCAGCGCAGTTAAGCTGGGACCGCAATGTGTAAAAAATTACGAGCTACATTGAAAATAAAAATGAAAACAAAGATGCAAAACGCGGGCAGGCTGAAACTGACTGTCGCTGCTGCTGGTGGTGCTGCTGGTGCTGCTTGATGAGCCAGAGATGAGATGTTAGCCCTGAAACTACCGACTACTGACTTGGCCCTGCCTCTGCCGCTGCACCATCCCCTGCCCCGCCTGGCAGTTGCGGCTACACTGTAAAAATTAAAAGCTCGAGTCGATTGTCTTCTGCAACTTTTATAATACTTTGATTTGAAGCGTTAAGTTTTTATACAAGTTGTATTCATTTATAATTAAATTAAGTTTAATGTCTTAATGCAGTTTTAATTTCTTGCTCTATTGAAAGTGAGAGTGCTTGAGTCGAGAGGGTCCGACCAGGAGATACTTTGCAAATAATCTAGCTTCTTGCTGTGCTTCTGCTTCCCCTTGGCCCCACCCTATGCATGGGATATATATACTTGATCATAGTCCGATTCTTAGGAGAACTTTCAGTGCCTAAATTTGACCTAGACAAGTCTGTATATAGCAAAAGGGAAGCCTTTGGGGGAGTTATCCATAAATTGAGATATTTTTAATCTGTAAAAGCTATACGAGAATCTAGTTTTGTATATCTATCGCTTATGTTGATTGATTAATGCTCGACAATCCAATTCTCAAAATCGATATTTATCGATCGAATTTATCGAAATAAAATATATATTTGGGTATGGCTTGGGGGAGTACATATATCGAATTTCAAGTCCTCCTGATCCATCAATAGACTTTATGCTATTCTGCCTGCTTCTGCCTGTCGCATACATTCGCACAAAAACAATACACCCTTCTTAGCCATATACCCTGCACTCCAGTTCCTACTTTAAAACTGTTTCAAAAGCGAAACTCAAACTTTGTAGACCTTAAAGAATTGGTGAAAAGAACAGCTCCGTCCATCTGCAAGCTCAAGCCCTGACCAAAAGCCGAGGAATCGTCAAGTGCGTGGTGCACCTGAACAGGTGCACCACCTGCCAAGGTATTCCAAATTGCAGCGCAGTGTAGGCATTTCCTGGGAATTGTGCTGCCAAGATATAGGGGGGAAAAAAAGAAAAACAGATGAGGAAAACTCTTGTGATGACGGCGACGCGACAGGCAGAGGCAGAAAGTAAAAGTAAAAGTAGGCAAGGACACGTTCTGCCGCATGCTGCGTGCCGTGGTCCTTTGCTGTGCGTTATAAAAATAAAATAAAATCTATTACGTGGCAAACCAACCCCCCACATTTATGTGGCAATTTGTTGTTTCTTGATTGTGTGTGCACCGCTCCGGAGTCGCCGTAGCCAAAAAGTAAAGTGTATCATTTTCCCATTTGGCGGCGGCGAATGCGACCCCTTTTCTGTCAGGGCCAGGACACGGCGCGAGCACTTCTCGCACTTTGTCTCAATTCCCAACTGTCAAGTTCCTGCCCACTCTCGGGTTCCTCATCAGCTCATCAGGCCTAACCCCTCGCCGTACAGGCAGTTGCAATTTATGAAGATTTGTGTGGCCGCACCGGAGGGTGTCAGAGGGTTGCTAGCCACGCCCCGTCGGTTATGGACGCCCTAGTGCACTTGTTTTGATTTGTTTGGAATAATAACAGATGCTTACCGTACATATTATTCATTGTTCAAATTATTAACGCTTGACAATAAAAATTGTATTTGAACAGCTCTCGAAAACCGAGACCCAAAACTCCGGTACGGCCCACGGTACGGCCGTGCTCCGTGTTGGCCTGTGGGCGCCAGCAGCAGCCGGCAAATTGCAATTTGTGCAAATATTTATGTACATTGAAAATTACTCATTTGTGTAACACCAATTAATTTCAACAAACAGCAACAGCCCGAACAACCCGAACAACAATGGGAGGACCATCCATTTATAAGGAGCTACATGCCATTGCTTTTGTTGTCCTTTGGCTGCGTCTCTCGCTTTTTCACTCGGCTTAAACAAATGGAAAATGAGGTCTTTTGTTTCCTAAAATAAACGATGTTTGTTTGCGTTCTGTTTGGACCTCACCAACCCCCCCTAGTTAGTCCAGGTCTCTTGTGCAGGTGCTCGACCAACACACAATCCTCCCCACATTGATTATTAGCCCAAATGCATTTGATTTTCGGTTTTTGCTTTTGCAAATTGCGCCACACAAATTGCCACTTCAACTTTTTGTTTACATTGCAATTTTTCAACACTCACCCCTAATGCACAGCCCCTAACAAATTGCAACTAATTTGTACAAACTAAGGACTCGAGTGAAGAAACACCCAAATGGGGAGTTCATTTGGTTGATTAACGTATACTTAAAGCAAGCCGGTGCAATGTCTCTCAAAGTCCCATCCACATCTTGAAAGCTGAGAAAGTTTTCATAAAACTGAGAAGCGCAAAGAAGACCCTTACGCTGAGCTGCAGCCAAAAGCAGAGTGTTACAGCACGCGCTCGTTCAAAGCATTCAGGTTAATCTCTTGTTAATCATGACTACAAGAAAATTATATGCAAGGAGGCAGTGTAATTATTCAATAAAATAAATTATTTCGGGCTTGTGATAGGTGATTAAGTAGGCCTACCTTTTCATCAAATGAAATTGAGTCAATAGACAATATTCTTTTATTTGCATCAGGTATTTATTGTAGTCTTTCCGAAAGATAAGTAAATGAACCTTAGAAAATGAGAGAGCGAGAGACAGAGAGAGAAAGAGAGAGAAAGAAAGAGAAAGGGAGCAAGATAGAGACAGAGAGAGCTTGGGTGGCCTTGTGGGAAGGGCACAAATTGTAGTTGAAGAACATGAGAAAAAAAGGGAAAAAATGGAAACAGAAAAAGAAAATTTAAGATAAGCGGGATATGGGCAATCGGAAATGTTGCCGAACTAACGAAAAAGGCCTTAAGAGAAGCTCAAATCAGAAAGGAAAACGAATGCAGGACGAATATCATTCGATACAAACGCAATATTTTTGATGTATACTTCAAATAAGGGTTAAAACATCTCGCCCTATGTTGGATAGGATGTGTGTTGGGTGACAGTCGACCTGGTTTTAAAATTCATTTCAGGGGGGTACCAAAAACATCACAAAAAGAAAGTTAAAAAAAAAGGAAAACAAAACTTCGTCTCGATCCCAGTTAAAATTCCAAATTTTCGAAGACTGCAATCTGTTCGGACACCCATTGGCATATCAGGTACCCGGTCAATTGATAGAGATCAACAAACATCAACAACAAAATAAAAAAAGAATCAAGTCAGGCAATTTCTGAGCGTTGAACTTGATTATTATTATTATTATTATATTATATTAGCGATAGGAAGATTATATTAAGGTGTATTGAGGGGGATTGGCGGTCAGAGAAACATCGTTCCGACGGCGTCCCAAGCGTTAAACCGACAGCCGCAGTTCGGCAAGCCCGGCCAGAAGCCTGCTGACATGGCCGAGGTGCTAAATCTTGACAATATCATTGCCCGGCTGCTGGAGGTGCGCACAGCCCGGCCCGGCAAGAACGTGCAGCTCAACGAGACGGAGATACGCGGCCTGTGCCTCAAGTCGCGCGAAATATTTTTGGCCCAGCCGATACTGCTCGAGCTGGAGGCGCCGCTCAAGATTTGCGGCGATATACACGGCCAGTACTATGATCTGTTGCGGCTGTTTGAATACGGCGGCTATCCGCCGGAATCCAACTATCTGTTCCTCGGCGACTATGTGGACCGCGGCAAGCAATCGCTGGAGACCATCTGCCTGCTGCTGGCCTACAAGATCAAGTACTCGGAGAACTTCTTTCTGCTGCGCGGCAATCACGAGTGCGCCAGCATCAATCGCATCTATGGATTCTATGATGAGTGCAAGCGACGGTATAGCATTAAACTGTGGAAGACATTTACGGATTGCTTTAACTGTTTGCCCGTTGTGGCAATTGTCGATGAGAAGATCTTCTGCTGCCATGGCGGACTGAGTCCCGATCTGACCTCCATGGAGCAGATCAAGCGGATTATGCGGCCAACGGATGTGCCCGATCAGGGACTGTTGTGCGATCTGCTTTGGTCCGATCCCGATAAGGACACCATTGGCTGGGGTGAAAATGATCGTGGCGTTAGTTTCACCTTTGGGGCTGAGGTTGTTGGCAAATTCCTGCAGAAGCACGATCTCGATCTGATATGCCGGGCCCATCAGGTTGTCGAGGATGGTTACGAGTTTTTTGCTAAACGCCAGCTGGTCACACTGTTCTCGGCGCCCAACTATTGCGGCGAATTCGATAATGCGGGCGCCATGATGTCCGTGGATGAGACACTAATGTGCTCCTTCCAAATTCTGAAGCCCGTCGAGAAGCGTAAGAAATAATGATGCAGCCCCCCGTCTGTAATTGTTAAAGCTCCAAATTGTTAGATTGTTAGATCCAAAAGATTGTATCTAATCAGAGAAAGCACATACATAGCCAAAAAGTTTTTAGACAAACAAGAATTAGCTCCAAAGCATTTGTGGAATGCACATATTATACATACATACGTATATATATATATATATTTATATATATATATATATATGTACATTACCTGTTTGTGTTTTGCTCTCATATGAGCCGCTAAAATGAATACAAACATATCAATACAATTTTCTTTCAATTCTTTATTGTGGCTTATTCGTAAACGTTTAACATATAGTAATTTGCTACAAACAGCGCAGCGTATATTACGTATTGGCATCTCTTTAATCAAGCAACTGCAATTCGTGTTTTACTGCTCCTTTTTGGGTCATGTTCGTAAACGATTTGCTTGCTTTACAGCTATTATTTGTTTAATTTTCCCTTTTGTGGCACATTCGTTAACGTTTCTTTGGCTGTGTCTGTTTTCGTTTTCTGCTCTTGTGGAAAGCTAATTGCCGATTCTTCTTTGGCGCACATTCGTGCCCGTTCCACGGGCAACATTTAAGCCGAGCGGCGCAGCTTGTCCCTTCTTTTAAGATGCGACACGGCGGAAAATCAAATACAGTAATTTGTCCTTGGGCATTCTGAAAGTGAGAACCGATTAATACAAACATTCGTTAACCTGTGCCAGCCCACATATGACCCAGTCAATAACTATATTAACAGCTGTCTGCAGCGGAGCAGCCAGAGCCATAACAAATTAACAAAATGCTAAAAAATTAATGAACAATAACAAAGCATGCGAGACGCGAAAACAAAACAAAACAGCAACACAAAAAAAAAACAGAGGAAGAGAAGAAGAGAGAAAGCAAATGAAAATGCCGGCAGCAGGTAATGGCGCCAAAAACGCTTTATTATGCCAAAAGTGGGTAATAACAAATATAAAAAAATGAAAGCAAAAACACAGCGGACAGAGAAATAAAGAGAACGTGAAAAACGGGCGGCAGGAACAAATTACATTATATGTAATGAGGTCATTTGCGCGTAAACAATCGGACGGACAGACAGACAAACGGCGAAACGGCTAAAAAGCGAGGAAGGGAGAGAGGGGGAGAGAAAGAGAGAGAGAGAGAGAGAGAGAGAGAGAGACAGAGTTAGCTAAAAAAAGAGAGCGCACGCTAAGCACTCACATGTTTATCAACAAACTGGCAAATAAATAAATTATGTTGGCAAAGTTGTTAATAAATAATGAAGCGAAGCGCGCAACGCTCCCAACCTACAAAAACTAAATAAACACACGCCAAAAAAAGAAAACAAATGCAAAGCGCAAAACAAAAGCAAAATGGCGGCGCACTGAACGAAACAACACAACGAAGCAGCAGCAGCAGCGCGCGCTCGTGTGAGTGCGAGGGCGCATCTGCATGCGAATGTGTGTGAGTGTGTGCGTGTTTGTGCACGTGTGAGTGCGAGTGCAAAGCTTCAGCTTAGGCCGGGCAGTTGATGGGTTTTTTTTTATTTTGGCATTGCCAAAATGCATTTGATTTGCCTAATGATTATGCATATCTAGCACACACACACACACTCACACATATATACACCTACGCAGCTAGCGCAGCGGTGGGACGCACACAACTAAACGCCACACCCACACACGCCAGCCATCTCGCTCTGGCTAACGGCAGCCATTGTCATTTATTTGCTCATCATTTGCGCTGTGCTCAACTTCGGCTGGCGCCATCTAGCGTTGAATGTCATAGCTCATATATATATATATATATAAGTATTTGTTTTTTTTTGCATAATTTTATTAATTACAAATTATGCGCTTAATGAAATGGGGCAACACTGGCCACGGCAACGTGTACGTGAACGTCGACGTAGACAGCAAACGGCAACGCCGCCGCATCGCCTGCTTTCGTGGGCACTGCCCAAATGAATTTTGCATAAGCCTCAGCCAACCACAATGCAGCAGCAGCAGCCGTCGCAGCCGTCGCAGCAGCAGCAACAGAAGCTGTCACAGCCGCAGTCGCTGTCCGCACGCTGTGCGGCCCCCTCCCCCCACCCAGCCCATACCCTGGCGCATAGGCCAAAGCTGCGCTCATGCTCTCACGGCGCAGGGTGGTTGCGCATTGCCAGAAAAGAGATAGCAATAGCAACAGCAGCCTACGCCGCAGCAGCTCAGCGCGTGCGAGAGCGCGCACGCCAGAGAGAGTGCCAAGGGTGCAAACCAATAACAGTCAGACTAATTTTGGGATTGGTTTATAATTGAAGACTTTGCCATTGTGTTTGCTCAGGCAGCGGGCAGCGGGCAGCAGACAGTGGCCACCTCTTGTAGTTTTTATAGCAAGCAGTGCCACCTAGACGCCCCCTCCTCTCTCCCTCCTCCCTCCCTCCGCCCGCTCTCCTGTCTGCCCCTACATTCTCACTGCTCTCAGTTGACGTCGCTTATATACATCGAGGCTGGTCACGGTTGCGTCGGTTGCTGTCTTATTGTTTTTCGTAGGCCTCCCCCATGCGCCTGCTTATCATTTTAGAGTTTTACATAATTGGCACAGCGCAGAGCAGAGCCCACAGTACACGCACAAACACACACAAGCACACGCAAGCACAGAAACACCCTGTATGTGTGTATATCCATGTATTTATAGCCTGTGTACGTGTCCACGTTTTGTGTCCATTTCTAAGCGTCGCACGAGGGGGCGTGGTATGTTTTCTACACACACACAAACACACACACACAAACACACTCACACAAACACACACAAACACACACACACAGACGCACAGACATATCGTTTGCTAGTTTTCGGCTGGGCCACATTCAAAAAGATAAATAAATATGAGTGTGCCCCACCCAGTGTTTGGGGGCGGTCTGGGCGGTCTGGGCTGCTGGCTATTGGCGTTTTGTTGTTGCATACTTTTCAGCTGTAATCAGTTTAAATGCTTAACAAAGCAACACAAAGCAAAATGGTCAGAAGCATGGGCAAAAAACACAACAGCTAGACTGAGAGCCAAAGACCCTGAGAGCGTCAGCGACTGCGAGTGCGAGTGCGAGAGCGAGCATGAGCTTTTTATGCCGTAAGAACAGCGCAATGGAGCCAGTGTGAGAGCGAGAGAGCGGGAGGGCGGGAGGTCGGGTGCGGGAGCGAGCAAGAGAGCGAGTCAAAGCAGCAATGGCTGCCTCTCATGCTTTTTAGTTGCTATTCATATTTGCTTTAATAATTGAACAATTCTATAAATATTTGATGCATAGACAAAAGAGTTGTGTGCAATGTCCGTGCTCCTGTGCCTCTGTCTCTGTGTTGCGCCCCACACTTGCCACTTGCCCCCTTAGTTACCCTTGCTGCCGTATTGGGTGTCTCATTTAGTTAAGACCCTTTCAAACTTTTGCGTCTCTCTCTGTGTGTGTGTGCGTGTGTGTGCCTCCTCTCTCGTTCAATTAAAGCTACATGACACAAAAGATTTTGTAACAAGTGCCATCCCGCCGTCTAACCCCGCCCCCCCCTCCCCCCACCCACTCCATCACCTGCCACACTCATCTGCTTGTTACCAAAAGTTGCGCCAGTTTTTCAACTAGAATTTCTGCTCAAGTTTCAGGTTTTTTGTTTTCTTTTGTTTGTTGCTGATGCCATAAAGCAAAGGGTTCCCCCCACTCGGCTTTGCCACTGGGCTTTAATTAGGAACAAGTCGTTGTCCGACTTAATATACTCACACAACATGCATGTATATATATATATAGATACTTTTCAACTTTGAATGCCAGTTTTATGTTAGACTTAATTATTTAGACACCGGTCTAAGCCATTTATTTGAATGGCCCATAAGCTGTGCACTTAACTTTGGGCCATATTCATCGACTATCCGAAAAATTTTCATCCCGCCATGGGGATTACGTTTTCGAGCTCCGATCTATTCAATAACTAACAGCTTGAAAGCTTTTGTTCTGATTGAAAGTGGAAATTTGTTTTATTCACATTGTCAACATGTCTGTTTGATGGATACCCTGGAATCAGAGCTCAAGTATTCTAACTTCTGTTCCGGATTACGTGTTCCGATTCAAACTTAAACAATTTTTGATACATTTTTAAATAAAAAAGGCTTATTTGCGTTATTGAGAATTACCGAGGGCCTATCGAAATATCCCGATACATAAAAGGGCTTGCCTATATGCTACATCTATACCAAGTAGTCTGAGCTAACGCTCAACAAGAAAAGTCTGTTTTTTTCCTACTTTAACTATAAATAAATATGTTTAAGCAGAAAATGTTTCAGGCAGCCGATTTCCGCTACTGTTTCACAATTGCGCGTGGAATGCCTCATGAGGTAACAACAGTCAGTCAGTGAATCAGTCAATCAGTCGTTCAGTCAGTCAATCAGTCAGTCAGTCAGTCAATAGTCAGTCGTTCAGTCGTTCAGTCAGTCAGTCAGTCAGTCAGTCAGTCAGTCAGTCAGTCAGTCAGTTAGTCAGTCAGTCAGTCAGTCAGTCAATCAGCCAATCAGACAGTTAGTCAGTCAGTCAATCTGGTCAGTCAGTCAATCAATCAGTCAATCAGTCAGTCAGCTGATCAGTCAATCAGTCAGTCATTCAGACAATCAGTCAATCAGTCAGTCAATCAATCAGCCAGTCAGTCAGCCAATCAGTCAATCAGTCAGTCATTCAGACAATCAGTCAATCAGTCAGTCAATCAATCAGCCAGTCAATCAGTCAGTCATTCAGTCATTTAGTCAATCAGTCAGTCGGTCAATCAATCAGTCAGTCAGTCGGTCAGTCAGTCGATTGATCAGTCTTACGTAGAGATGAGTCTATATATGCCCAGACACAAGCAGTTTCCTCTTAAGCAGGCCTTGAGTATGCCTTCAAATTGCAATTTGCTGAAAAATTCGACTGAAAATTCAGCAACTAGATCGGCGCGTAAGTAACCATCATGCACATATATGTACTCACAAAACGATTCCTGATTTATATCTATACATATATTTATACATATATATATATATATATATATATACACATGTATATATAAGTATATATATATTTGCATATATATAGATGTAGTTGCTGCCTTGAATAATGCGTTAAGCAAGTCAAACTGAAGGGAACTGTCAGAATTTGGGATTTAAAGTTCCTTAGAGAGACATCCACGATTCGATTCCGAATAGACGTTTCATTTTCTTGCACAAATCGGTTATCAAATCTGAAATGCCGAATGGATATATCGATGTTTGGCATATTTCTCGGTATCCTCATGCACTACGTATTCTTCTTTTGGTTCTTGGCCCATCTGCAGATGCACCATTCAATGGATCAATTGGACATGCTGGATCCGACGGGCTCGATGACAACGTTAGCCCCCATATCGGAGTCGCCCCTAACGCCAACACATCAGCACCTGCACGGTTCCTATCACAGTATGAATCACATGATGAGCCACCACCATCCGGGCACGTTAAGTGGCCACACGGCGGGTAAATATTAACGCAAACCAAACAATGCCCAAACTGATGGCCACCTTCTCTATGGACACAGGGCACCATGGACACTCAGCGGTACATCATCCTGTCATAACGGCGGCTGTGGCAGCCGCTGGCCTGCATCCCGACACAGACACCGATCCGCGCGAGCTCGAAGCGTTCGCGGAGCGCTTCAAGCAGCGTCGCATTAAGCTGGGTAAGTTCTCGATACCGTAGAGTCTAACCCACAGAGAACTCTTCACTGCTTTTTTACTCTGCTGCATATCTCTTCAATTTCGTCTCGTTTTCGGCAAGCATAGCATACTTTTCAGAGCTCCAAACAGATCCAGTTCTCGAAGTACAGCTACTATAGTTCTCAAAGAACTGGAATTGGAATGAAAACCTGATTTAGACAGACGAAAAGCTTGTTCCAAAAATAGCTTAACTATTTCCCTGAAAGCCTCTTATTATACAAAATTGCAGTTGGGTTTAAAAGCCAGACTTAAGGAAAGAAGAACTCCTGGAAGTAGCGGAGATATCCAATATTTTCTTTAACCTTAGTCTTAACTAGAACTGGAGCTGGTTCCATGTTCAATTAGAGTTCATTCATGAAAGAACTACAACTAGAAATAGAAAATCGAAATATAACTCGGAATAAATTAAGCTACCTCATAATAAATTGAATTGAACCTAATAGTTAGAGAACCTAATAATTAGAGTGGAATTGAGCTTTTCAAAATTTGTTTCACAACACTATACTTTCTTGCGGTGGAAATAGTGCTTTAAAGTGTTTGTCAAAGACATGCTTGGAACTTGAACTTAAACTTCTACACAATTAGGCTCTTTAAAAATCGTTTGACAACACTATAATTACTTTCTTTCGCTCTTGTAAACAGTGCTGTAAAGTGTTTGCCAATTACAAGCTTAGCCATTTGATTAAGCTCTTCAATTAAGCTCTTCAAAATTTGTTTTACAACACTCTAATTACTTTCTTTCGCTCTTGTAAACAGTGCGGTAATGTTTTAGCCAAAGATATGCGAAGCTTCTCTTCAAGATTTTGATTTTCAACGACACTTTGCACTTGAAACTCATAAATATTTGATTATGAACGTTTCTAGCGGTAAACAGTGTTGTAAAGTGTTTATTGTGCATCTGTTTCTTTGCGCGCAGGTGTCACACAAGCGGACGTGGGCAAAGCGTTGGCCAATCTCAAGTTACCTGGCGTCGGTGCGCTGTCGCAGAGCACAATCTGCAGATTCGAAAGCCTGACGCTGTCCCACAACAACATGATCGCGCTGAAGCCCATACTGCAGGCGTGGCTGGAGGAGGCCGAGGCGCAGGCGAAAAACAAGCGACGGGATCCAGATGCGCCCAGTGTGCTGCCGGCGGGCGAAAAGAAAAGGTAGAAAGTGTTTTGATTACAAAACGGTAATAATACCCAGAAAGCAGTGCCAACACCCGGCCCCAGCCCCACCCCCAACCACCAACCCACAGCACCACTCCCCACCCGACCGCTCACCCACCTAAACCCTAAATTGGCAGCATGTTTAATTTGGCAAACGAGCAAAAACCCAAAAGCAATTAGTAAATCCAGCGAAATTGTCCAACAATAAGAAGAACTCAGTAGCTTACAGTATTTGAATCGAATGTTAGGGCCCCATTTCTAAAGTAATCTATATCGAGTCTTTTTTCAAGAAAAAGGACTTCCATTGCGGCACCTGAAAAGCGTTCCCTGGAAGCCTATTTCGCCGTCCAGCCGAGGCCGTCCGGTGAGAAAATCGCTGCCATTGCCGAAAAGCTGGACTTGAAGAAAAACGTGGTGCGCGTCTGGTTCTGCAATCAACGCCAAAAACAAAAACGTATGAAATTTGCCGCTCAACAACACTGACAATCAAATAATACAGCCACACAATTAGGTATAGTTAGTAGTGTAACACCATCAATGACGGGACACGGCTCCGCGGGATTCGGATACTGATAGTCATTTATGACGGCAGCAGCAGCAGCAGCAACAGCAACAGCGGCAGCGGCAGCAGCAGCGACGTCGGCAGCGGCAGCAGCAGCAACAGCAACAGAAACACCAGCAACAGCAGCAGCAGCAGCAGCAGCAGCAGCAGCAGCAGCAGCGGCATTTTGCTATTCTTCTTCTTCTTCTTCTTCTCTACCCATAACGGGCGACTATTATCTTTAGTAATTCGGATTCGGATGCCGATTCGGATTAGGATTAGGATTCGATTCAATTGGATGACGTTTGGCCGGCAAAACTACAGCAACAACAACAACCTTTACAACACTTTTCATTTTACAGTCTGGCAACACCACACACTACACCACACACACACACACACACACACGCACACACAGGCAGGTTAATGCGTTAAAGAGAGAGAGAGAGAGAGAGAGAGAAGGAAATTTTAACGTAAAATGTAAACATGCAAAAAAAAGAACCACAAAAGAATTTTTTAGGAACGAATAATGAAACAATGGACCAACATATCAAATGCAATAATTTATTGAATTGTATAGGAGAAAAAGGTGGGTAAAAAACAAACACAAAAACAAAAACAAAAAACAAAAGCAATATAAAAACAAGATGGAACGCATTAGTTCGGCAAGCCGAAGCTTAAATACCCTTGTAGAAACTTTTCTAATAGCTTTGCAGATATGTGAACAGAATTGTGAATCGTTTCTCGACCGATTCCTGCTCGAGAGGAATATGGTAGGGTGTTGCAACTCCTGAATGCCAAACCTGTGCAAACATACCCTTCTGGGATATAGTCGTCCGATCTGAGGCTCTATGTAAAGATACATATATAATTGTGATTCTAGTCAAGCACTCTATAGCGTCGCGTCGAACATGCCGCCCTCTTTGCTCTACAAGGGTATAGAAAGACGCCAAATGCTGGACACCAGTTGCAGCTCGATCTGTTTTGGCTAGACTTACGATAAATCCATTTCGACTATTTGCTGGTTGTTGGGCTCACCCGGTCGAGAGCATACCCTGTTCAGCCAATCGAAACGTGCTCTGCCGCCGTTTTTCGGCCAATTTTTTTTGTTTTGTTGCTTTAGCGGTTTTTAGCCGTTTTTCTATTCACTTTGCAGCGTTGTTGTTTATCTCTGAACTGAAAACTTAACTTAATGCCAATCTGTCCTTTGATGTGCCCTACTAATCAATTCATTTTGAAATCTATTTATTTTTCAGATTTAAAAATTAACCCAAAAAATTAAAAAAAAAAAAAAAAAAAAACAAAATAAATGCCAAAAAAAAAAAACACATAATTAAATACAATTTACACAGGGCAACAAGAACAAAAACCCCATGTAGATGCAAGCAGTTACTACACACACACACACACACATACACACACACACACACACACACACACACGCACACACACACACACAGACACACACACACACACACACACACACACACACACACACACACACACACACACACACACACACACACACACACACACACACACACACACACACACACACACACACACACACACACACACATACACACACACACACACACACACACACACACACACACGCACACACACACACAGACACACACACACACACACACACACACACACACACACACACACACACACACACACACACACACGCACACACACACACACACACACACACACACACACACACACACCCACACACACACACACACGCACACACACACACACACACATAAAGCAACCAAAAAAACTTCACGAAATTGCTTCAAGTGATCCGATAATAAGAATTGCGCTCTATAAAAAAAAAAAAAATAAATAAATAAACAACGACTAAGCTAAAACTGGATAAACTACAACTAAACCAAGACACACACACACACACACACACACAGAGTTATATTAGCCTATGTATATGTATATATATTATAGAGTTTTTGATTCGATTGTAAATAGCGCTAACGAACTAACCTAACTTTCTTATAGAGATATGGTTTCTGTTAGCTTCAAGAGACAAAACCAACTAAAGTAGTTGCAATAGTTAGAATTTAAATCCACACACGCACACACACACACACACACGCGCATAGACACGCCCCGTAACCAAACCGGATCCAATCCCAGCGGAACCTAACCTAGCAGCAAAATTTCTTGATGCTTCCTTCAGTGCGTTATAGTATTTAGTTAAACATTTTTTTAATCAGTTTTTGTTTTTTTATTATTCAATTAGGCACATATTTAACCTTAGCACACACACCAAACACACAGCAAGGTTTTTTTTCTTAAACTTAAGTAAACAAATGCAAAACCAAAAAAAAAAAATGTTAGCAACAACTGAAAATATTGCAACGAATTTAAACAGTTGCCAAACTAAACTAACGAAAATACAAAAACTACCAAAAAAATAATAAAAAAAAAAAAGAAAACATATATATATATATATATATATATATAAAGAACATTGATTAATAACTAAAACTAACTATAGTAATACATAAATTATAAAGAATTTTAACAAATATTATACATATAAATTTTTTTGTTTTTTTTTTTTTTTTTTGTATTTTAATTTAGCACATTTAATAGTGTTAACTAGACTTGTACATATGCAAATTGAGAATAATATATAGTAAATACTATATATATACTATATATATATACTATATATACCATAGTATATAGCGAGCGTGTGAATGATTTTCGAATGTGTTGCGGCCATATTAAAGAAATCGTTAGCAGCGAGCTCAAGAAGATTCAATAATAATTTTAACATATGAAAATAGTTTTGTATCGAAAATAACAACAACAACAACAAGAAAAAACACAAAAAAACCAAAAAAAACCAAAAAAAAAAAATCGTCAACATTGCCGACAAACTAGTGCATAAACAAACAATTTTTTTCAAGCGCATAATAATTGTAATAATTATAATTATAATTATAATTATAAACATCAAACATATATGAAACGGAAATGTAATAATATGATAATTGATAATTGACACAAATGAAAAGCTCATAACTACATTTAAATTTAATTTTAGTAGTTTCTAGACACAAAATATTGTAGCATGAAAATCAATTGATAAGCGAGCTGGCGGGCGATAAGTTAATAAAATGCAGCTAAATAAGCTAAAACTCAAATATACAACAACAACAACAACAAAAATTAATAAAACATATTTTAATTTTGTACAGCATACGTGAAAGATCTTTGAGTAATAAAAATGAATCAGTTTCAATGCCGTATACCATAAATCTTTAAGATCTCGCCTATCGATATATCGATAATTGCCATCGATAAGTCAAGAAAGTGCGCGAACTAGTTCGAGCCGATAAGGTTTTTTTTTTTGGCATGGTAACACTTTTTGAAGCTTTCAATTTTATTTTGAACATACAATATATTGCGGTTAAAGTTTTCCATGGCAGTTACATGTTCAAACGCATCGCAATTTTTAACGTTTTAATAGTTTTCTGTTTGTGTGTTTAACGATCGATTTAATTACAATTGCTATCATTAAAAGCATTATTTCGAACCAGCTGCAAGAGCTATGACCTACCCCATATTGTGTGCCATATCATTTGACACCATGCTACATGATTCAAGTAGAATTCATGAATATATGTATATAAACTTTAAATAGACATTACTTCAGATTATGTGTGTATATATATATATATATGCTATATGCTTCATTTGTATATCACTTATACATTTACCCTTTATGCTTGGGCATAAATATTTATTTATTGCTTCAAAAAACTCTCGTGAAAAATGTTGATCTTAAAATGAAAAACATAGGAAAACAAATTGAGTGTGGTGTGTCTACGTTGGGTATTCAGTATCTTTTATAGTGCACAAATTCGAAATGCGCAATTTAAATGTTTTGAATTGTTTTTGACATGGGAAACTTACGGATTTATGTCTAGGGTTAATATAACAAACAGTTTGCACCTAAACTACAAAGTGCTTCTATATGAATTCCTATGAATTGCGTCCAAGACAACGGTAGAATACGGTCTCACATAGAACTAGATTGTTTTGGTATTTATTGGCGCCAAGTTAAAAAAGGGTTTTATGATAGATTAGACGTTATTTTTGTTTTGTTTTGTGATTAACTTAGGCGTTTATAAACCGCAATTCATTGAGTGTTTTTCTTTTCTTTTTTTTTTGTGGCCAAGAGAATAGATGGTCTATATAAAGTGTATATATGATTCTTGGCAGTTGGCGACATGGTGGTATTTAGTAATTCAATTGAGTCCCCGGGCATTTACAACGAACTCTAGACGACCTTGTAGCGACCCTTGTTGAACACATGATGGGCCGAGCTGAGCTTCAGCAGCTCCTCCTTGATGAGGCGCGTTATTTCGCGCTTGGCCTTCTGCACGGCCAGTTCGCTGCAGCTCTCGATGGCCAAATAGAGCTTGCGTTCACCCTCGGGCGGATTCTTGCCCTGAGGCACATAGGTTCCACGCACTGTTAGACCGGCCTCCGAGTATTCGGAGATTTGGGCCAGAGCCTCCTTGGAGGTAACCTTCCAGCGTGCCTGTTGCGGAAAATCATTAATCTCCAGCTCCTCTTCGTATTTGGTAAACGAATTGCTGTTGCTGCCCATCAGCGCTGCCAGCCCCTCCTCATCCTCCTTGGGCTGATAATTAAGCTTGTTGTTCAGCTTGGCGGCCAGCTGCTCGACCACGGTACGTGCCGTCAGCATGGGCTGTGCGGTACCAACGCCCGTCTGGCCCTTCAATATCGACTCGGCGGCCGCCTGTGTGGCCTTTGTGTCCAGATTGCGGCTGCTGCTTATCTTGGACGCCAAACGTTTGGCCAGCTCCAGCTTGTCGGAGCCCATGGCCACGGCAGTGGCCAGCTGCTGTTGCTGCTGTTGTTGCTGCTGCTGCTGCTGCTGCTGTTGTTGTTGCTGCTGCTGCTGCTGGGCAACAGTCAAGGGCGATGTGATAACTGCGCTGAGGGCATTCACAACGGCATTGGCCGCGGCCAGAGCTGTGCCGGCCAGCGAGGTATCCTTGACGGTACGTTTGGCGGCAAAGATTTGCTCGATCTGCTGATCGATATCCTGTTCGATGTCCTCCTCATCATCGGAATCGGCCAGGCCGAGCGCAGCCTTTTGCAACTTTTTGCTCTCCTTGACCGCATTGAATTCCTGCTCATCGAATTTGAAGCCTTTGCCACTGAAGCCGCCGCCAGTGTGCACCGTCTTGCCCTCCGCCTCCTGCGCCGCCTTATAGTCGTTCCACAGGGTCTGCAGATCGGGCGGCACAGGTGTCCCAGATAGATCCAAGGCTCGTATCACATCGCCCGCATACCGGGACTGCTCCGGCGTGATGAATGTATAGGCGCTGCCCTTATTGCCAGCGCGGCCAGTGCGTCCGCATCTGAGAGGATGGATGAGATGCGATAAGTGATCTTCTGATTATCGCTACATGTCGCTACACTTACCTGTGCACATAATCCTCGTAATGATTGGGCACATCATAGTTGACCACCAGGATGAGATCCTTGACATCGAGGCCGCGCGCCGCCACCGAGGTGGCTATCAGCAAACGCACCTTGCCGGACTTGAAGTCAATAATGGTCGAGTCGCGATCAAACTGATCGATGCCGCCGTGCAGGCTCATGCACGGATAGGATGCCTTCATTAGATCGCGCAACAGAATGTCCGCATTCTCCTGCTTATCGACAAAGACAATAATGCTGCCCGTCTCCTGATAGACACCGAGCAGCTCGAGCAGTTTAAAGAACTTCGCCTCATCGCTCAGTATGACTACATTCTGTTCGACATCCTTGCAGACAACAGATCGTCCGCCGACGATCACCTCGACAGGCTTCTTAAGTATGCGACGGGCCAATGCCTCCATTTGGCGTGGAAATGTGGCGCTAAACATGACTGTCTGTCGATCTGGACGGACATTATCAATAATGCGCATCACCTGCGGCTCGAAGCCCATGTCGAACATGCGATCCGCCTCGTCCAGAACAACATAGGTGACGCGACGCAAATTGGTGACACGTCCAGAATTTGCTGCCAGCATATCGATCATGCGGCCGGGCGTACAGACAATTATCTCGGCGCCACGTTTCAGTTCGGCAATCTGTTCAGAGATGCCGGTGCCGCCATAAACGCAAACCGGCCGCAATCCCAGCGAGCGACTAAATTTGCGTATATCCTTGCCAATCTGCATGCAGAGTTCGCGAGTGGGCGCCATTATGATGGCAATGGCACCATCGCCATCCTCCAGCGACGGCTGGTCCAGAATGTGCCTAAACATTGGTAAAATGAATGCCAACGTCTTGCCACTGCCAGTTTTAGCAATACCTATCAGATCACGCCCAGACATTATCGCCGGTATCGCCTGGCACTGTATGGGCGTTGGCTTCTCGAAGCCCAACTTGCGCAGCACGTCCATCTCTTTCTTGCTAACGCCGCACTGTGCCCACGTCTGCAAGGAGTCCAAAAGTGTTTAACGTGTTTAGCAAAAGATTCAATTGATTCACTTGCATAGCACTTACCTTGATCGGCTTGGGACAGCCCTTGCCCTTGACCTGCACGCCCTCGAGCTCGCTGCGATACTTGTCCACCTCGGAGTTGGTCATGCGCGCCAGTTCGGGCACCTCGACGTAGAAGTTCTTACGGAATGGGGCATAGCTGACAGAGGAATGATCGATCTTGGCCAGCTCTTTGCGATGCTTCATGGCCAGATTGACGGCCGTGTCGCGTATATCCTCTAGCTCATCCTCGCTAGAGTACTCCAGGCTGTCCATGTTCTGTTCAATAAGTTCGCCCTTCTTTACCGTGTTCGTCTTCTTTTTGGCCACGCCCGTCAGTATAACCACGCCCTGCGCCTTGGCAGGACTAACGAAATGATTGACACGGCGCATCTCCCTGTTGACCTCCTGCATGTACGCATCCAGTGGATCGACATCGTCCTCGGGCTCCTCAACTGCTGCAGCTGCTGCCGCCGGCTCGGTCACCATCGGCGTCTCCTCCTTGGGCGGATCGACTGCTGGCTTTACTTCAGCTGGCTGTTCAACCTTGGATGCCTCCACTTTTGGCTGTACGACCTCGACTGCCGTCGGCTCCGGTTTGGCTGCTGCTGTCGCAGTTGTTGTCGCAGTTGTTGTTGCAGTTGCTGTTGTTGTGGTTGCTGCTGCAGTTGTTGTTGCTGTTGCTGCTACAACGGGCGATGTCAGTACCATGCCCAGAACCTTGCTAAAGGTGGGCCGCTTCAACGGCGCAAAATTGGACTCGACCAGATCGTCGTCGAAACGCTTGCGTATGCTATGGAATTTGGATGGCGGCGAATCGGGCTCCTTTTTGCCGACATCAGTGTCTATGGTTGGCGCCGGATTGCTGTCATCCTCCTCGGACTCATCCTCGAGGCTCCATTTCTTAGCCGATTTGGTCACTGTTGGCGCCAACGGCGCCTTGACATCTCGCTTGCCGGCCTCCTGCTCTCGCTGTTTGCGCTCGGCACGCCAGCGCTCAATGCGTTCGCGTCGCTTGATCATCTCCTGTTCGAGTCGGCGCTGTTGCTCCTCTTTGTCAATTTCCTCCTCCTCCTCATTGTCCGTAGAGCTACTGGAGGAGCCAACGGGTATAACTAAAGGCGCAGCTGGCACAGCGGCCCGACGCATATCCAGTTCGCGCAGGCGCTCACGCTCACGCTCCTTATCCCGTTCCCGTTCACGATCTCGCTCCCTTTCGCGCTCCTTATCCCGTTCTCGCTGCCGCTCCCTTTCTCTGTCCCTTTCGCGCTCCCGCTCGCGTTCACGTTCCCGCTCACGTTCGCGATCCTTGTCCTTGTCACGCTCACGCTCCAGCTGTCGTCTGCAAAAGATAGCATTATGAGACTCTGATTTGCTCAACTCTATTATCGCTTACTTGTCCTTTTCGTAATCCTTCGACCTAGAACGCTTGCGTCGCTTCTCATCGCGACGCGGGCCCAGGCCCCGATCATTATCCTTGGCCGGTTCTTTGACCCGCTTGCGCTCCTCGCGGCCGCTGCGCGAACTGCCGCTCAGAGTGCCTCCGTTGCGTGAAGATTTGCCATTGTCGTAGTCGCCGCGCCCGCTGCGACTCTCATAGTGCTTGTCACGCTCCCGCTCTCTATCCCTGTCACGCTCCCGCTCTCGGTCGCGGTCACGCCTGTTAACATTGAAATTAATACGCATTTTGCCCAGCGCTTTGATCACTTACCCAGAGTTTTTGGACATGGCCAACGACGCGCTTATTTGTTACTGTTGCGCCGTGCGAAACGCCGGCGGCTCGCCTAATATAAATAAAAGCCTTTAGCTTAACCTAAACTATATCTCTGTATAAGGCAAAATTGTGCAATTGCTTTCAATTAATGCTTTTTGTTTGACTGTGTCGATTTGTTTTCGTTTTCTTAGTAAAAAAAAAATAAGTTATGCCTTAAATTTGGCATATAAAATTGTAATCGTTTGCCCAGCAGGGCTGTAGTAGCGGGCCAGGGCTGCAATTCTTCTTTTTTTATAAATAGCGCCTGCAGCGCTGCCATACTTTTCGAATCAATGCACAACATGCTATTTTCATTGGAATGCAGTATTACGTATGCTTCTTAATACTAAAAAATTGTAATTTGAGTACGCGTGGAGTTTTACTTGTATAACAATATTTTGTCCAGCAAGTCAACACAATGGGGCTATGGCGGTAAGATTTTAGCAATAGCGCCGCAGCGTTGCCACTTTACATTGTACAAAGCAAAGCAAGACCGGCTTTTTTTTGCATCTATAATCATTTCACAGAGATCTGAATATTACGCTAATAGAAGATCAGATCTCTTTCTACTCCAGTCGCTATAACGAAAGACTGATAAACCACCAAAACAGATCTGCACAAGCCCTTGTCGGATCTATTCCTATAAATAGACTGAAGAAAAGACACTTCGGTCTTTTACAAAACAATTAAAAACAATTCTTAAGAAGACAGCTTAGCCTTAACCTTATGTAGAGCAGGAGAAAATAAACTAAGAAACAAACATTGTTAAATGCAAATTTTGAAGCATGTACATGTTTAAAAACTCATATTATCTGTTAATATAATAAAGATTTTCATAATAAAAAAAAAAAAAAAAAAAAAATCTATAATCATGCACGCAACTTTGAATTTTTTGAATTCGTTATATTCCTTATGCCTATTGATATGTGCAAATATGCAAAATGAATTTGAATTGTTTTAATTTGAATTTAAACGTGCAGTCAACGCAAACATGTTATTATTCATTTGTAAATCGATAGACGAATTGTTACAGGGCTGCATACAACACTGTTTTTTTTTTTTTTCGATAAATTGCGCAAGCTATCGATACCCAGCTATCAAATATTGTTTTGCCTAGAGTCGCACGTGTAGGCGCCAGCCAAATTCAGGTAGAAGTCCGTCACGCTGGAAACAACAGTTATTTAGATATATTCTGAAAGAAAAAATATAATATAAAGCTGGTTTTTTATATATTTAATTCACACAAACATCAATGACAATGCTGCCGCAATTTGAGATTATTGTTGGCACCTACGACGAATATCTATTGGGCTATCAAATGGCCTGGCGTCGCAACAAAAAAGGATCGGACAAGATCCAATTGAAGGCGACCTTTGCCGACAGATCACACGACGGCTCAGTGAAGTGTCTGGCCGTGCACGGACACCTGGTGGCCACCGGGGGGCTTGACGATCGCATCTTTGTATATGATATGCGCACACGGAAGCAGGCGAACGTTCTCAACATGCACACGAGCACGATTAATACGCTGGTCTTCACATCGGATGCGTCGCACTTGATGTCGGGCAGCAAGGATGGGCGTTTGATAGCCACACGCTTGGCTAACTGGTCACCTGAAGCTGAGTGGACCAAGCCCCATAATGGCAAAGCCGTCACACACGTCGCTTGCCATCCGAGCAGCCGTCTATGCCTGTCCCTGGGCGCCGATCTGGTGCTGAATACGTGGAACTTGATCAAGGGACGCATCGCGTACAGAACAAACCTGAAAAGCAAACGTTCCTTGGGCAGCTCACCCGATTGTCTGGCCTGGTCGGCACAAGGCAATTACTTTTCCATGGCCGGGCCGGCTACCTTCGAGATTTGGAACATTGGAACAGCCAGCGTAATGCGTCAAATCAAGATGCCATCGAAGCCCATCTGTGCGACCTGGCTGGATGATAAAAACTGCGTGGCGGGCCTCGAAAATGGCACCATTGCTTGGATCTCGCTGGATTTCGATGAAACGGCTGCCGTAAATATAGATTTTATAGATTTTTCGCCGGCTTCAATTAATTTTTCCATTTCGCTTACAGCCCAACATATTGCCCGGCCACAGCAATCGCGTCAAGGCCATATCCTTCATGCACAACACGGTGGTTAGCATCTCCAGGTGAGTGTTGCGGGTTTGACTAACTGACCGACTGATGAACAGCGACGAGGAGCGGTATTTGTCCGAGGAGGAGGAGGATTCGTTTATTACCTTATAGAGGACATTATTATATACCAAAATGTCTGATGCACAGAAGGAGGCATCTCTGCCGAGTCTATGTGGCCATGTTCTGGACTCTCTCCGTCTGTGCCTGTCTTGTTGATGTACTTGGCTCAGATCGCACCAATGAATTCTTGTATAGAAACCTTTTTTTGTTATTCAAGATATCAAGAGTTTGGACTTGGTTCTATATCATATAGCCTTATTCCGCGCGTCCCTCCACTTCCTGCGTGCAAAATAGAGTTTCAAGTTAGTTTAATTCTTCCTTCCGTACCCATTTACGTGTTTCCTCGACTTTATGTAATCCAACTAAAGCTGGTGATGTGCCTTAAAGAGATAATTGAACATTTGCAGCGTCGGCGAGATCAAGGTCTGGAGCTGCGATCTGCCCGGCAAGCAACTATCGCTAATCACATCCGCAAGCATAGACTGCCGTCCCACCTGTATGTCCCTGCTGGATACAACGCAGTTTAGCCGGCAGCAAGAGGACACTCGCGACCGCACTGATAAACAGAAGACAGCCAGGATGGCCGCTCGCATCGAGGCACTGGAGTCACTGAGGAATCGCAGCTACGTCTCAATTGAATACGATGAGGATGCCGGCGAAACCGATCCGGTGTTCGGTCGCGATGCAGACGGCGACAGCGACAGAAATGAGAGTGACGGCAACAGCCATCAATCGGAGTACGACAGCGACGACAGTCTGGGAGAATCGGACACAAGTGAGCCCAAGCCCAGGCCCAGGCCAAGGCCAAAGCAAAAGCAAGCAACAGCACCACGTGCTCCGCTGAAAGCTAAACGTTCGCAAAAGCGTGTGCCCGCCCAGGATAATAGCGAGCCCACCGAAGACTTCATTAGTCTTAACCCAAGCGAAGGCTCTGCGCCCCGTAGACTGGCCGGCCAGAAGGCGGCCACGCCCCGTTTACAGAAACGCAATGCGCCCATCGCCAAATTGATTCCGCAGCAGAAGCGTTCGAAGCATGCAAATTGAAAACTACATTGTGTACATATCTATTTAATCGGCTAGTTTAGTTTCGTACAATTTATTTAGTCTGTATTTCTGACACGCACGCCCAATAAATGTCGGCAAAATGGACAATTTTAAATGTTGTACCGGCTGCGCAGGTGGCGCTCGTCGGGTATGGCCCGTCGCGTATATTTGCCCAGAAATTGCCGGAATCGCCCATTGTCCAGCACGCACAGTGGTATGTTGGCAGAGCGCAAAGCTGCCCATAAGTCCAGCTGAAAGCGGCGCTCATTTTGGGACGCATCCTCTATGTCCGACGCGCCCACAACATCCACAAAGCTATCCGTTTCGGCATTTGTTGTTGTACAATGTTCCTGTTGTTGTTGTTGTTCGTGTTTTGGTGCTTGCAACTCGTTCTGCATGTGGCCAGAGCTGTGCAGATGCCGCACTAGCTGCACGCGCCGATTGGCAGTTACCTGTAAAAGCAGAATTATTATAACTAGCGGCTTTTTCGGTTTGTTTATTCAAGAGTTACCAATTTGTTGCACAAGGTGCAGTGCATGTAGCCATTGTGGGGCTCGAAGCACTCCTCGCCCAGCTCCGCCTGCCATTTGTACAGCAAATGTGTTTTAGCATTTGGCCTCCCCATGACCTTGAACTAAGCTGCTAGATACATATACATATGTATGTATGCATATGTATATGTATATGAAAAATGCAAGCGCGTGTCCATTTGCACGCATGCCTGCATATGCTTCGTTTTGTATGTGTGCGCGTGCCTTAAGTCACCTGCACATCTTTGAGCTACGGAGCGAGAAAATATGTACTATATGCACACATATAGTGTGCTACTTTACTTACATGCGTAGCATATGAAAATAGCATACAAAGCTCCGTTATTTTCGAACTGCGCAAGTGAGAACGCAACAGACGAAGCTGTGGTGTAAAGCCATGATTTCACCATGGACAAAAATACTCGAGAGAGTGACAGAGCGCGTGTGTTGTAAAGCTCGTGATTATTGTGTGTTGCGCTCTGTGTTGTGTTGCCAAGTGAGAGCAAACTAACGGTTTCTTGACAGAGGTGCTTGCTGCTCTGCTCAGCTGCATTTTAAGTTTCACGCAATTGAACTTGAGAGAGAGAAAGTTGCCGCAAGCCGCTGTGCACTGCACGCGTAAAAGGGATAGCAGATGTAGAGCCGCAAAGTAACGGCTCTTAGACAACTTTGTCTCTTCGTGCGCAATGGACTTAATGCATTTGCATTGTGGCTAACAAATGCTGCTCAGCGAATTTACAATTATCCTGCAGTGTGGCAACACTTTTCGATATACATAAGTAAATACATAATTGTTTTTCCAGCTTATAATTGAGGTTAGAAAACTGTCAAATCGCTTGTCAAACGAGATTTTCATTCGAGCCATTTTGCAAGTTGTTCTCGCAAAGTCCGTTAGCTGCTGAAAACAGAAAATTTCACTTTGTTAATGAAAAATTAAATCCTAATCGAAAATTCATCAAACAACTTGCAGAAAAGCCATACTTCAAAAGTTCGTAAAACACATTATTTTCCGACGTGGTCCTTTCGTTCTGTTTATTTTTAAGCACTTCTTAGTTTCTTTCACATCGCGCAGATATGGTTTGGCCATCTGGAAACTATCCATTGTCAGCAAATGGCAATCGTAAGCGTCTTGCCGATAACAATCAACCCGTTCTGATTGTAGATCGATCCTATAATCCACGTCGTCGCTCCGCTGGCGCTTTTGAGCCGGACCGCATGCATCGCCCATTGCCGACATTCGCCAATCTCTCTGAAGACGATAACGATGCTCCAGAGTCAGCACCATCACCGGCACCAGCTCCGGCCCCGGCACCAGCTCCCGCCCCGGCACCGGCTCCTGGACCGCCACCCGCACCGGCCGCTGCTCCCGCTGCTGCTCCGGCTCATGCTCCGGCTGCCACTCCGGTTTTCGCTTCGGTTTTTGGCACGCCTTTGGCTCTCGCTCCCAACGCAGCTTTGGATCCTTGTTCTGCCCCGGCTCCCAGCCTAGCCTCGGGACTCTCTCCAGACCCCGCTTTAGCTGCCGCATGCACTTTGGATCCCTCTTGCGCTTCGGCTCCCGCTGCTTCTGCCGCCTCGGCTCCACAGCGCAAGGGTCAAAATAAGCCAACAGGTCGCGCCATCACCGCCATCGATTACGGAGACGAGCCGTCACACAAGTGTCCCATTTGCCTGGAGAGCGTCTCGGGCCGCCAGCCGGCGACGACCTCGTGTGGGCACGTCTTCTGCTATCCCTGCATCCTGGCGGTGGTGCGCGTCAGCCGCAAGTGCCCCGTTTGCAGCTATACATTAGCGACTCGTCGCTCAATTAAGCGAATATACATCTGAGCCGTGTCCTCGAGCAATTGGAGAGTAAATGAAGAAAACCAAACAAAACATATTTCAACAGTTTCAACTATTTGGCGGCTGTTGCACTAAATAAATAACATGCTCTCCGGAGAGTCTAAACACGATTCGATTCTCAACCGAGTCCAAAGTTAACTCTCTGAAGTCCAAATTGACGAAAGGTGGCATCACTGTCGCACTGTAAACCTTTATAGGGCGACCTTCCCGAATCTACAATTATATATATATCGGTCGGATCGAAAAACTATATCATAAAGCTGATCATACAGAAAAAAAACTATTATTCATAAAAGTATCTTTGCCTAATTTGGCTTTTTTTTCAAAATGTTCTCATCTGATTACTAGATCATACAGCTCCATAGGAAGAATCTGTTGAATCTGGAAATATTTTCCATTTTCTAGTTTTTTTTCTGTTACCAAACTAAGCAAATCCTTCCATCTGCCAATCCACAAGCCGTGTGTCTACAAGTTTCCTACCCACACCTGAGTTTAGCCCTGATTAGTAAGGCAACGTCTCAGGGGTCATGTTGAACTTACTGTGGTGAATAGTCAAATGAACGAGCGAGACAGAGCGTGTGTGTGTGAGAGAGAGACGTCTGTCCAAACTGTTATAATATATGAAAAACCTCGCTTTGAACCATTTTTAAAAAACCGGTTCGGCCTAAAAGCGTATTGTGCAGCCTTGATTAAAACATTCAATCGATTTTTTTTATGCCAAAAAATTGCTTATCGATCGCTTATTTTATTACTTGGTACGTGGTTAATTAATGATTAGTGATAACATTTTTGTTTTGTTTTTTTTTTTTTTTTGTGATTTTTTAACAATCTCTATATGCATATACAATAAGTTGGGGAAGGTTGGGGATTGGGTACAGGTAATTGTAAGGGTAAGGGGGTTGGGGAAAGGCACTCGCCAGGAGCTGATGCGGCCGGCGGAGTCGGGGGCCACGTCAGCCTTTTTGGCGAACACCCCCCCCGCCGCCCCCTTTTGTGGGAAAAACAATTAATTTAATGCGGCAACGTTTCTTCAGCTTCAGCGGTGTGAATTTTTGATATTGGATGGAGAATATTCTGGATGCCAAGGTACAACAGGTTAACAGCGGAGATGCGGTGCGTGGTGTGCCTGGTCGGTCGGTCGGTCGGTGTGTGTGTGTGCGTGTGCGTGTGTGCCTCAATGGGCCAGAAAATATCGGATCAGCTTGAGGTAAATGCGCTCCAGCAGCGGCCACATGTGCTCCACAAGCAGCTGGAGTATGTGCCTCAGCGGCGGACACAGCGTGCACATGTAATCCGTAATGGCATCCAGCACACGCACCACCAAATGTCAGTTATTCCGCTCGAGATGTATGTAGTAGCCGCTGCCAATGCTGCTGCTGTTGGTATTGCTGGAGCCGCTATCCTTGTCCTTGTCCTTGTCCTTGTCCCTGTCGTTGTTCCTGTCGTTGTCCTGATGCTCCGCTTCGATCGGATAGCAGCCATCGGGGCGCTGCATGCAGCCATGCGTCCAGGCCATCGGCTCCTGGAACTTGTCCAGATGCGCCAGATTTTGATAGGCATAGAGCAGCGGATGATCAATATAGGCGCTGCACTCGTAGCACCACACGGACAGGTCGCTGAAGCTCAAGACCAGCGGATGCTTGGCCCGTCGGCAATGCTGCTCCATGTGCTCATTGATGTAGCGACCGCAGCCGATGCTCTGGCAGCTCAGGCATACCCAATTCTCCACCGTTGAGGCGCAGTCGCCGCATGCGCCGTTTGTTTTTATTGCTGCACGTTGAGGGGGGGAGGGGCGCGTTCGGTGGAAAGGGGAGGGTTAGATAAATAGATTAATATTTGGTAAATTCGTGGATTATGTGTAGCACAGAAAGCACGCAATATTTACAACAAAACAAAAAGCCAACGAAAAGCATTCAAGCATTGTTCGATTCTGGCAAAAATAGGCCAACTGTTATACTGTTGTTATACTGGAAGCAAATGCCAGAGGAAAAGAGAAGAAACCGATGAAAAGAGAATAAGCACAACGCAAGAAAAGCGTTCACAATTTGCGGTGTTGGCGATTTAAAACTGTTATACTGTTAAGCGACAGCTTTACTGTTATACGACCGTTATAAATGATTTTCGTTTCATGCAAAGCAATTGTTTTTAACTGTTATACAACTGTTAAGCGACAGACATACGTGATACAAATCAGTTGTTGATCTAAACTGTTATACAACTACTAAGCGTCAAATACTGCTATACGGCTGTTATACCTAATCAATGTTTCCAAATTGCGCTAGCTACAGACAGTATTTTCTAAACTGTTATACCGTTTATTTACTGTTCGACTGTGTATTCGAATACCTGCTTTTTGAAGACTGTAGCTCATCTATACATATATAGATAACATTTTGCTGTTATAGAACTGTTATACATGTGAATAGCTGGGTATTTTCAATATGTAATTGTAATCTCAAAGCTAAGCATGTTTTGTACAGCTGTTATACATTATTAAGCTATTTTTATAACTTTGCTATCAGACAACTGTTATACATATGCTGCATTGCTGTCGCACAGCTGCTATATATTTTTATAACAAGTGTTATAAATTTGTTCAACTGTTATATTGATTTTACACAACTAAAAAAAAAGTAAAAACTGTTATACATTTAGGCGCTTTTCTAACTGTTGCATTCTTCTCATCTAACTATACTACACAACATATAAATATATAACAGATAAACGAACATTTATCAATAACTGTACTTCTTATGCGGGGTTTTATATAAAGCTCTATCATAGACAAGATCAGTAAAAAAAAAAAGAAGAAGGAACAAACAACAAGAAGAAGCAACACACAAGCACAGCCACAAGCGAGAATTAATAAAGCAAAAAGGAAAAGTGAGATAAACATATATGGCAAGAGAAAGACAGAGAGAAAGAGAGAGAGAGGGAGAGCGAGAAGTGCATATTGGGCTTTAGCTTACATTTGGGCACCTCCTCCGGACGCAACAGGCTCAAGTGTGGGCAGCTTTTGAGGGGATAAATAGCAAACATTTCCTGCTGCTCGAGCGCCTGGCAAGAGCAGTGCAGTAAGAAATGTGGCAGAGAGAGAGAGGGAGAGGCACACAGTGGGGTAACGAATTGACAGGGAGAGAGGGAGAGAGAGAGAGACATGAGATTAGTGTGTTTGCTAAGAAACTGTTTATGTTTGAGTGCAAAGGCAATATAAATACTAAGCTGCTTGATCAGTGTTGCCTACTCAGCTATTTTCAAGCCAAATTTGGCTACATTAGCAGCTGTTTTAAAGCGACAGTTGGCTGCTTGAAATAGTTGGAAAATAATAGCTAAATCTGTTTAAAAATAACCTGAATTGCTGGCAGCTGAAAATTTTTAACAGTTTTAGACAAGACATATCTACAACTAAACAATTTCAGCTAAAAATAGTCCAACTTAACTATGAATTAGCCGAATACAGCTATGAAAATCTGATATAAGCTATAAATTAGTCAAAATCAGCTCAAAATTTGCCAGTTTTTGCTAGAAACCAGTCAAAATTTCTGCAAATATATATGTTGAGCATTAAGTAGCATAATTTAGCTATGAAACAGCTATGTTTAGCTCTGAAATGGTCCGAATCAAACTTTAGCTAGAAATTATATGCTCTTCTAAAATAGTTCAATGTAGCTAGAAAATAGTCATATTTAGCTCTAAAATAGCCAACTCCGAGATAATAATAAAATAGAACTATGTTTTCTTATGGTCGATTCAGCAATAAACTATCCAAAAAGTAGCCAGATTTAGCTAGACTTGGTATTTATATTGTCTTTGATAAGTGGGTGTATGTGTGTATGTGTGTATGTGTGTTTGTGTGTGTGTGTGTGTGTGTGTGTGTGTGTGTATGTGTGTGGTCAGTTGCTCGTACCTCCTTGTGCTCGGCCATAAACTCGCTGAGCGTTTTTACCTTGACTTTGGGCTTGCTGCCGCTGGGCCGGTCCTGGCCGCGATCGGGCTGTGCGTCGATGTCGCCGCCGGCGGCGCCCAGTGGATCGTCATTTGATATACTCAGTTGGTCCATGGTAGCAGCAAGAAAATCCTCGTTATTGTTTTCGCCCAAAACGAACTGCGGCAGCTTGCAGCCAAAGACGAGCGACTTCCAATGATGACGCTGCTGCTCCACGCACAGCTGCAGCGTCTCCACGCAGCTCTGGAAGGCCACCGTCGGCGAGCGTTGGGCGGTCGATCCGAATTGGGGCGTCGGCACCGGATCGCCCAGCAGCGTTTTTGTGCACATGGTCATCGCATACGATATGGAGTTGACATTGTAGCCGCCCTCCAGGCAGACGATGATCCGACCGCCGGCCAAGGCCGACAGCCAATGGGTGAACAGGCCGTAGCCCTCCGGTGTCACCTTGCAGCCGCCCAACGGATCCCCAATGGCCGCATCGAAGCCGGCCGAGACCAGCACCAGCTGCGGATTGAACTCGTATGCGATGGGCAGGATTAGCTGCTGAAAGGCCAATGCGTACTCCAGATCGCCCATGCCCTTCTGCAAAAGCCAAAAAGGTAAAGGGTATGCGATTTTAGATCGGATCGGATCGATCGGAGGTAAAGCTCTTGCCCAGACGCAAGACAGGAGTGTGTATTAAATGGGAGGTTTCTTCTTAAGGTGCGATTAGATGGAGCGCATGGAGCTGCCGCACTCACCTTGTTCCAGGGAATATTGACATTGAAGCCACGGCCGGCATTCTTGCCCACGACATCGTAGTTGCCGGCGGGACCCTTGGGAAAGAAGGCGCCATGCTCGTAGCGATGAACACTTATGTAGAGCACCTTGGGATTGGACTCGAAGATGTGCTGTGTGCCGTTGCCATGGTGGACATCCCAGTCGACAATGAGGATGCGCTCGAGGGCATATTCCCGTATAGCATACTGGGCCGCAATGGCCACATTATTGAATATGCAGAAGCCGTGCGGCTGATCAGGCTCGGCGTGATGGCCCGGCGGTCGGACATTGCAGATGCCGCTGCGAGATTGGCCGCGCAATACGCTATCGACCGCCTGGAGTACGGCGCCAGAGGCGAGTATGGCGCACTCGAAGGTGCGCGGATGCAGGTACACCGAATTGTAGCCGGCGCCCACTTGCTGCAGCTCCTCAACGCTGCGTCCCAGCAGTCGACGCACCGAATTGACATGGGCGCGCGTATGGGCCAAGCACACCTCGTCCGTGGTGGCGGCGCGCGCCGTGAGCTGCTGCATCCGATCC